TCTCGTCCTCACATCACCTCCACCAGCCCGATCTCTCATGTCATGTTCAAGTCCAGACATAAGATCTCTCCTAGCCAAACTGGCCAGCCCATCCACCAAGGACTGCCTGTGCGCTCCTGTCCCACGGCATGCTCAGCCTGTTTCTCCCCCTGTGAGGCCCATCCTCCTCCCAGCCTTCTCATTGCTTGGCGGTCACTACACCACTTCACTCAGAAGTGGTTCTAAGAGGTAAGACGTTTTGGAAAGAAAAATCATTTATAATTCCATTTCCTATATTTACTTCACAAAATATTTTCCACATAGGGCTTTGCATTTGACTTCCTTCCTTCCTTCCTTCCTTCCTTCCTTCCTCCCTCCCTCCCTCCCTCCCTCCCTCCCTCCCTCCCTTCCTTCCTTCCTTCCTTTCTGACATACACATCCTTCTAGATTGTCACCTTACTGACAACAAAGTCTCTGTTTGATCCTTTCTTGAGACTTTCCCATACCAGTGCCAGATCCTGAAAAAAAAAATATGTTGTAGGGTGAGAGAGAAGGTGCAGCAGATGACTTACTGATAGGCAGCAGGTATGAGAACCGGAGTTCAGATAAATTATGTAAATGGAGAGCTGGCCCACCTGTAACTCCAGTGCTCAGAATTTGGAGACGGGGTCCCCAGAGCAAGATACCGTGTGAGACTAGCCTTCTGGTGACCACTGAGCATCAATTGATAGACCCTGAATCAATGAGTAAGGTGAAGAATGACCAAGAAAAACTTTTGACACCAACCTCATACCTACACAAGCATACACACATACATGTGCCCTGTTGGGTAGCACTATTCCTGGGGAGATTTGGACAAACATCCACTTAGTCTAGACAGTGAACAAAGACACCCTAAGTAATGAAACCACTAAAGCCCAATTTAGGAAACCAGTGAGTTTATTAAGGTCCCTATGGAATATGAGTGAGGGGTTACTTATAGGAGCATAGGTGATTCTGAGCAGCTACATCACAGAAAGCCCATCCCCAGATATGTGAAAACTCATGGAGGCTGGAATCCTAGAGCTCTCTGCAAGACATACAGGCAGTGGGATAGGTCTGAATCTCCTCATCAGCCCTCACTGCTTACATGACTTTGGGGAGAAGGGGCCTTGTGCATATGTAGTGACCTCCTGAGACTTCTGAGTTATTTCTTTCCTCAGTCCTAATAGCCTCCTTATAACTTCCTGAGGTTTTGGTTGTTGTTTAAGATTTGTTTTTATTCATGTTTGTGTGTGCACATATGTTATGTGCATTCCATGCCCAAGGAGGACAGATGACCTGCTGCTGGACCTACAGGTAGTTGTGAGCTGCCCACTGTGGGTGCTGGGAACTGAACTCAGGTCCTCTGGAAGGCCAACAAGTGCTCTTAACCTCTGAGCTACCTCTGGCCCTGAGGACTTCCTGAGTCTTGAAGAGCTTTTCTTCAGGATAAAATGATTCAACTCAGAGGGGAGTACTACACAGCACAACCATACACATACTAAAACGCAAACTTACAGAAGCATCACACATGTACACATATGAACATGTATACCCACAGAAGCAACACACACACACACACACACACACACACACACACACACACACGTCTATAAACATACATATACACAGAAACACCACACATGTATACACGAGAAAGAATAAAAAAAAAAGAGTTACTGGATGCAAGAGTGTGTATCAGATCTATTTTGTAACTTGTAAATTTAGTGCACACACCCAGACATTTTTGTCTCCCTTCATCTTGCCTTTTACTAAGAAGATGGCTCTATCTAGGAACTCCATTAGACTGGAAGTGTTGAACATGTCTCAGACACACTTTAGCACTTGAGAAAACCCAAATTTGGCAGAAATACCAGCAATTGAGCTCATCTTGATGGTACTATGATGCCACAAGATCGGAAAACCAGAGCTTTTCCAGCTCTCTGGCATGGCTGCTATAGCTACAACTGAGAGAAGAAGGCTTCAGCAGTCCCCACAGGTACACAGTGCCTTCTAATTTCCAAAGCACGTTCCTGGTCCTTAATTTACACTTGACCCTTCTTCCCTTGCGATGTGGAAGCGTGGGCTGCTAGTAGAAAGATAGGGACAATGACCTGTCCAGGTCCTGAAGGGGAAGCAGGAGTAGAATGTGTTATGAACTCGGTCGCAGGTGGTTTCACTTCACCATCAGTTGAATTCCCTGCACTCATTCTGCAAATGCCCAGACTTCAGAGGCTGCTTGATAATTAGCCCATCTGCATCCCCAGTGCTAGTTTGGAAAGAGGTTTCATTTCAGTAATTTCTTCTTGAAATGCTTGTTCTCCCACATGCTCTAGGTTTTGAGACAGGTCTTGCTTTGTGTCCCACAGTGGACTGGAGTGCCTGGGACACAGTCCTCTTCCGGTCTCCACCTCCTCTTGCAGCTGCAATAACCAGCACCAACTGTGGCTGAATTAAGTTTTTCTTTTACATAATTTGAGTTCTTATTTTTTTTCCTTTCTGTGGGTAATTTTCATATACTAGAATGGACCCATTGCACACCACAGTGAAGTCACAGTATTCTTTTCACCTAAAGTCTTCTTTGCCCTGTAGCCTATGAGAGTTTCCAAAGTCCTCTCATTGTTCTCATATGCTCAGCATTCAGAACTATGTTCTGTATGTGCTTTGCATATTCTTCAGACCTCATTTCTCACTTAGACTGAGAATGCATATGCTTAAAATGGCCCCAGAGCCCTGGGCACTGTATACTAACATGTCTCTCATGTTATCATAGACCAAGCTCTGCCAATTCATATTCACATTCATGTTTATATTCATATTCATTCTCGCTCTCTCCCCTTTCCTCCCTCCCTGCCTCTTACCTTCCTTACATTTAGTTTTGCAGAAATGGGGATCTGAACATACTAATTTCTCTTTAAAAATTAATTTTTGTACATATTCTAACAGGTACAGACATCCTAGGGGATGTTGTTTAAGAGGGTATTTTGATTTAATAGATCTAGGGTAGGGGCTAATATTCTTCATTCCCAACCAACTGCTAGACTATATCAATGTGTTTTAACTGGTGAGTAAATAGGTAATTTATCTACAAGTGAGAGCGTAGAGCCTTGATCTTAATTTTGTTTTTGTTTTTGCTTTTTAACCACTGTGTTCTCAGTGCCTGGATCATGTCTGCTATGTAGTAGTTGCTCAATTAACAATCAAAGATAAATGAATGGCACATATTTTATTTGAATAGAGGGAAACACAACATGGCTTGCTTGGTAACTATGGTTTTAAGTGGCTGACTTTGCAGAGACAACCTGGGAACGTCAATGAACTGCTCTGAGCCCCAGTTTCCCGATTTTCAGAAACAGTTCTAAACATCACCTCTAAGGTCCATTGTGCCTTAAAGCATATGATTCAGTGAATTCACAGGAACCGGAAACATAAGCGTTTCCCAGCCAGTTGAAAAGCAAAAGCAATTGTGCAAACATAACTGAGGCTCTTGCCTTTTTTTTTTTTAAAGTCAGCTACTCTTCTTACTTTTCCAGAGCTTTTTTAGCTCTTTAGCCTGGCTGCTCTGGATGCAACTCAGAGAAGGAGACTTTAGCAGTCCTCACAGGTGCACCATGACTTCTAATTTCAAAGCACGCTCCTGGTTGTTAATTTACAGTTGACCCTTCCCTGGCAATGTGGGTCCCTCCCTGTTCTCACTGATCTCTAGTTAAAAGCCATGGACATGTGTTTTTAGAACAGTTGGGTGCTGAGAGTTAAAAAAAAAAGAAAGAAAGAAAGAAAGAAAGAAAGAAAGAAAGAAAGGAAGGAAGGAAGGAAGGAAGGAAGGAAGGAAGGAAGGAAGGAAGGAAGAAAGAAAGAAAGAAAGAAAGAAAGAAAGAAAGAAAGAAAGAAAGAAAGAAAGAAAGAAAGAAAGAAAGAAAGAAAGCAAGCTGCTAGGCCATATTCAAAGCCATGAAGGACCACAAACAAGTCTACAGAATAGCCAGTGAGATGTCTGATAAGAGTGGGCAGTTACTGAGGAGAACATGGGGACAAGACACTTAATGTTTAAAATGATCCAGAGTGCCTGTCCATTTTGACAGCCAAACACCAAGCTTCCTGCTGACCTCGGCTTTTACATCGTGCTGGCTGGAGCTCAGAGTTCCGCCCTTTCTCCATAGGCAAAAGGTACCAGGTGTCGTCTCCAAGTTCAAATCTTTGAAAGAACAGGTCATGGAAACACAGGAGTTCAGAGACCTATTCATCTCTAGGCCATTTACTTAGCCACTTGGAGAGAGCACAGCTTGACAGAGGGAGGGGAAGGACACCATTCGAGACTGCTACATGAGTGAAATAAACGGCCCTGTGAATTGAGAGCGCCTTCTGGGATCCTGCTCACATCGCGGTCTCCGTCTATTCACAGTTCTACCTCTGATTGGGAGGAAAATTACTCACAGCTGGGAAATGAAGTCACATCTGTGTCCTGTATGAGCTGAAGCCACCTCATTCCTTTTTGCTCACTCCGAATTGTCCTACCATTCCAAATCATATGCAAATGTGAAAGGGAGAAGTTTGAAAGGAAAGTTACAGCTCGGAGCTCTTTGTAGCATCTGGATTGGGACACTGAAGGTGAGTCCTGACGAATTCATTCTTCCCTTCCTGTGCTGTTCACTGAAGCATGGAATGAGTTAGCCATTTTACGTGGCAAATACTCAAAAAATAAACATGTTTTTCAAAAGAAAAGTAAATTTTCCACACCCTGAGGAGGCTGCATCTGCCAATCCACATGTCACCATTCTGTATCCTCCTTTGTTTACTGACTTCCACGGTCAGCCATCCCATGCTCCTTTATAGAGTGAGAGACAGAATGGACATGGGGCTTCTGTTTTTTTTTTTTTTTTTTTTTGGTTTTGGTTTTTCGTGACAGGGTTTCTCTGTGTAGCTTTGTGCCTTTCCTGGGACTCACTTGGTAGCCCAGGCTGGCCTCGAACTCACAGAGATCCGCCTGGCTCTGCCTCCCGAGTACTGGGATTAAAGGCGTGCACCACCACTGCCTGGCTTTTTTTTTTTTTTTTTTTTTTTTGGACATGGGGCTTCTTATGTGAACTCAAGGAGAATGTGGCATGTGGTTCTTTCCCACATGCATGTTACCTTGACGCATTTCCCAGTGCTTAACGCCGAGTAAGACCCTCACTGCTGCAAAGAGAAGGGCAGAAGGAGATGTGACAGTGGCTTCCCCTCCTCTCCTTTAAAGGAAGGGTCTGTGTACATTTCTGTCCCTGTGTTTGCGCATATGCCACGTACCAATGTTCCAATAGTAAGAAAAATAACATGCCTCACTGGGAGTGGTGGAAGAATTATTAAAATAAATAAATACAGGGCATCAGGGCTCTAAGTCATTGGCTTAGAAGAGCTTGGCAAAAGGTTAATAATTTCTCGAGTCAAAACCAAGCCCTAACTTCCCTAGATCAATCGTAGGGGCAACAACACTGCCTTTATTCACTGTCTGTCAACAACGTGGGACAGGTGGGAATGATTCTAATCATTAATTATACTTGACACAACCTCAACTCCGCCTTGCGTCAATGGGAGTCTGTGAAGAGGCGCTCTAGTGGTTTTGAAACATTTGAAAGGAGGTTTAAGACATCAGGTCATGTGAACGACTGGGAGGGTGTGAGCCGTGGTGCGGCTGCCACAAATAGGCTGCCAGGATGATTTGTGTGAAAGGGCATGTTGAGGCAGACAGGGACAAGGGGCAGGCTTTTCAGGCAGAATGAGCCTCTGATTGCTGGTTGACAAGGTGTTTGCTTTTCTGTTTTCTAAATTACGCAGGAAGCGATCCACATTGTGATTTATGGTAGAGTGGGATTTCAGCCACCCATGAGCCTCGGAAAACTCTGGAGAAGCAGGATGTTTTCAGACAAGTCTCTCCACATCAAAAGCTGGAGAGACGGGGTGTCCCCTCCACCTTCCAGACAGCATGGCTATGGAGAAAGTGAGAGAATGTCAAGTCATAGCTCATTCTCCAAGACTAGAGCTAAGTGATGACCTGCACAAGCAAGGCTTGGCAGGCAGAGCCTCAAGCCTCTTTTTCTTGACTCTAAGGCGGCCAGGGACATTTTTCTGAAACTCAAATCCTGTTCATAAGCTATGTGACTACTGTCCTGAGTAGAAAACTAAACTGTACTTCATTTACTCTTTCAATTTCCTTTAAAATTGATACATAAAAACATAAAACACCTTCATCTGTTTGGGATGCTATGTGGTCTCAAGGATGTACATACTGTGTGCCACCTTTGTGATGATAAACAGGAACACCTCTCCAAACACTTGCCATTTCTTTTTGGGCAACTGAACCAGTTGTTGTTTAACCTATTATTTATTGATTACTCTTTTTGTCAACCACTCGGTTAATGTAAGAGCTTCAAGGGAAAGAAAGATTGACTGATGTAACCTCCAACCTCAGGAGTGCTGCTATGATTGGAAAAACATTTGTTCCAAGCCCAGTGAACTATGCACTGACTGTTCTTCTGTTGAATTCCAAAAGCATTTATGTTCTATTGTCACTTAAATAAGAAAAGTGAAAAGAACCAGGGATAGAAGAAGGGAGTGGAGATGGAGGAAAGGGAGGAAGGAGGGAGGAGGGAAGAGGGAGGAGGGAGAGGGAGAAGGGAGGAGGGAGGAGGGAGGAGGGAGGAGGAAGGACCTTTTTAGTAACAATCATTATCCTAAGTGCTATGGGATACAACAGTCTAACAGCAAACACATTTCTTATTCCTTGTCCTCTAAGGGAGCGATGTTGGCTCCTTAGTCCTTTTAAATTCCAAGTCCCCTGTATCAGCACTGATTGCAAAACAGTCACTAAATATACACGGATGCAATGAACAAACAATGGTCATGTTCAGCCTTGGAAATGTATTTTCAAGCTTGTTTGAACTGTTTCCAAAAATCAGAGATAAATAATTTTCAATTACTTTCTCCAGAGCCTTCCCATTTTCAGGAGGCTGTAGTCTTACAAATGATCCCATTTGCCATGTGAATCAAAGAATATAGGGATTTTTGGTGATCTTAAATGCCATTTCTGCCATGGCTGTGATAGAAAAAAAAACAGGGTATGGGGAAAATACTTGATGACTTTTTAGGGGTAAGTTAGTTAAAGTATTGTAAAAATAAAATCAAGAATGGAAAGTTCAGCAGAACCTCCATGTATTATCTCATTTGCAGGTCACAAACAGGGACTATCACAGTTTGATATTAAAAGTCATGATCGTTTGGCATCATTGACATTATAGACTCATATATCAAAGGAATATAGTAGAAAGTAAATGAATGTACCCTGGATGAGTTGTGGCCATCATAGCATGCTTCTGGCATGTTCACTGTGAGTGGGTCCTTTTGAGCATATTCTTCTGTGAGAATCATTACAAATTATTTGATTTTATACAGTGTACATATCTTAATTGCCCTGACTCTTTGTTTATTAATCACAAGATTAACTAAATTCACAGAATGTCAGTCCTGTAATACAAACAACAGATTCATTTTTACACTTAGATGGAAATAAAAATTTAGTTAGCTAACAAAGAAGCACAGGGGTGGGGGTGGTGAGCCATTAAGCAGTCAAGACTAATATCATGTTGGCTCAGGGGCACACCAGAGAGTTCTGCTTCCTTTGCTTGCCCAGTTGCTCTACAACCACACTGATCATAAAAGGATGGACATCTGAGCTTCTGTCACCGTGCTTCAGTAGGAAGCAGTTTATATCTAATTTAAATTTGAATCCAAATGTTAGTGATTTCTCCCAAATTACTAATATTACACAAACATACTATTACTAGTAAGTTGTAAGCTCCCACCTGTGTTCCATTCTCCATTCAGACTGATTTCCATAACAGAAAACTAAGCTGGTGATGCCAGCCCCAAAATTGTCCACATACAGAGCTCTCTAAAAGGCCAAGTGCTACCACTGAGCTCCTATGTCCTAAGGCTGGTTGTCATCCGTACTTGTTTCTTATCCTGATGTTCTGGGTGCCATAGGTACGGATATACTAGTCCCAGTTTTCTGAGAATGTGATTCAGTCCCACATGAAATCACTGTGCATGCCCAGATCTGCAGCATAAGTCATCAAAATTCCTTATGCTATTATATCACTAAATTCTTGTGGGCATGGGGATTTGTGGACTCTTGCACAAGACTGTACATTTTTCTTTTTAAACTCCTGAAAAATAGTAAAGATTTTTTTCGTCACATGCCTATATAACATAGCCTTTTAGTATTGATAGTACTAATTGATGTGAGAAATGGTAAGGTTAATGGAGAGACTGGTGGAAATGGGCATTTTTGGCAATGCTCGGGCAACGGTGTTTCAGAATGAAGACCATTTAAACGTTGTGAGAAATAGAAATGGAAGTCTGATATCTGTTAAAGTGGCTGCCAGTTCTGAGACTTCCTAAGAAGCTTCTTTTGGATTAAAAGGAAGAGAAATTTCGAGTTTTGTGCACTTGGTGTTAGTGAAGACATGTTTGCCTCTGTACATAACTATCATATAAAGGAAGTATGTCACATATGTATTTCTAGAAATGATGCCTGATTTGCCTGGCAGACCCCTCCCTGTGTTATGGTCAATTTAGAATTCAAATGTTCCATATTGTGATGATAGCCTATGTTTAAAGAAGGCCACCTTCAAGTCTTCCTTTGTGTATTGCATGACACTCTGTCCTGCAGAAAAGGTCTGTGCTGACTCCATGAATGTGGTGAAAGAGATGCTTTCACACTTCAGATCCCGTTGTTAAGAGCCTTCCATTCTCTGTCCCTTGCTTCTTGGAGTACCGATTTGTCATACAGGAGGTTCAGGCTACTCTGCCATTCAGAGATGTCGAGTCAAGAGCCCTGAGGCACCAGACACAGAAGGGGTGATCATGTGTGATGCTCTACTCTGCTAAACCTTGCAGAGTACTTTAGTTGCTACCACCACCTTGATGTGACTGTGGGAGAGACTCCAAATGAGAACTCAGCAGAGCCCAGACAACCTAGGAGGTTTGTAGATGAATTGCTACCTCTTAGTTGAATATAAATGTAAATAATATCGATGGAGGAGGAGAGTAAACTACATAAGTAGAAGGACAGATCAGAATTTGCAAACTAAACCCACAAAATCCTCCTAAAGTACTCGAGAGAGAGGATTCCCCACATTTCATCCCATAAATCCATGAACTTTCTTTCTCTTACATGCAGTATAGACCGCATGGTTTAATTATATATATTAAATTAGCTACTAGGGAGAGGAAGACCCTTCACAACACACACACACACACACACACACACACACACACACACACACACACACACACACACACAATCACAGACATTTGAGGTGATGGGAATGCCAGGGAACTGCAGATAATCATTGTACATTGTATTTATGTATTCCAATGCCACAAGGTACCTAAGAAATATATACAATTATCATGTGTTAATTAAAAAGAAATCACTTAAAAACAAGAAGCCACCTACACTTCTATAGGAAAAATTGAAGTCACCAAATTAATTATAAACGAATGTAGCAGCTTTTCAAAGATGTAAAAATTAGAAAAAATAAATAAATCCCACGAGCTGACCATCCTTCCATTCCTGCCATTGATGATGTAGTAATACCTCATCATATTTTTCTCTAATTGTGACCACTCTATTTTATGCCCTTAAAATTATAACCAAAGGTGGGCTTGGCTTACTGGCATATGGAACTTGCATACTTACAGAAGAAAAAAATTACAGCAAGAGAAAATTTAAATTGTCCTAATTGAAGGAAAAAGTTACAAAGTCTAACAATATTAAGAAATGAACTGCCACCTGCCCTGGTGGCCTTTGAAGGCCTGTGTAGTGAGCAATCTGTGACTACAACTTCAACAGTTTCATGGCCTGTGTAGTGAGCAATCTGTGACTACAACTTCAACAGTTTCATGGCAAATCTGCCATGAATCATAACACATATGACAATTTACATCCAATTTAATTACAGAAAATAGTTTTCTAGGTTGGAACCTGAAAGGCTGTGAACTTTAAAGATGACACATCCCCTGTGGGGTGACTATACTGTAAGTACCTTTGAAGTATGGACATTTGGGGCTGGGTAAGACTCTGCTGTGGAGCATTGTCTTTTGTGAGTTACCCAGTAAACAATGGTAACAAAATTGTTTTACTTCAAGAAAAGAAAATGCCCCAATCAATGAACCTTCTCTGTTTCTTTGTATTATTCTCTTCTCTATTACTGTAATTAAAACATATTTCAATGGCAGATGATTTTAGTAAAATTACCGCATATAAACATAATTTCTATGTTAAAGGGAATGACATTTGTATGGCTTTTGACATGAAGGTCTAACTTTTCTTTCCCAAAAGTCATTATAAATACACAGTAACACATCTGACTATGGATGGGGATACGTTTAGCACATTATAGCGGAACATAAAATTAATGACATTATGATAAAATCATGTCTCATCTGTATAACAAAGTAGGATAATTTAAACTATAACCAAACAGTCTACTCTCCTATAAAATGATGAGCAATAAATTCTCTGTGGACACAATCTTTTTCTAAAACAATATATAGTTCTAATAGTTTTGTTTTGGAAAAGAAGTGCTTTATTATACAAAGCAAGAGAAAGGATGGAAGATGTGCTGGGAGACCCTGACTTCTGCATGGCTTAGTTCTTCACAGGGCAGATCTCTGTTTGAATGCAGAAAGCCAGGCAAGAAACTCCCCTAGCACAGTCTGGGCACTGGTGTGAAGGAGCTGTGGAGTCTTGTCCTTGGCACCCCATGAACATCAGAGTAGACTCACTAGGCTTTGAACCCCTGTCTGCACCTACCAGTTAGACAACTTGCTGTGGCTTTCTTTTTCCTTTACTCTTGCCTAAACATCGTTCAAACACTTCTTCCACAGAGAAGCAAAGATGTAGCTGTTTCTATCATCAGTAAAACCAAGAAAACAACCATCTTGCTGTCTGAAATGCCTGCTGTCCCCTCTCTTGGAAGGAAAGCTCAGGGCCTCTTCTGATGGAAACATGGCCTCCCGAAGTTCAACTATAATTCTAGAGTCGAATGTGCATTATGGAAGACTCCTATAGGTTTTAGTACAACTTTGGGGTCTACCAGTCCCTCTGAGGAGACAACCTCTTGTATACCAGGCCTGCTTTGGGTCAGGTAATCCTTCTAAAGCACTAGAAAGGTAAAATTTGTAGTTCCCAAGGAAATCCCAGTCCAGGCAGCTAAAGAACTAGACACAGAGCTTTTATGAGCCTGTTGCACAGGGCCTGTGTGACCATTCACATCCACTAACAATGTTTCTCAAAAATGACCTTTCAAGTCAAAAATGACGTTCTTCCACCCTTCTGTGTCTTGTCCTCTCCTCCTTCCTCCCCAGATGTCTATTTACCTCCTTTTCTTCCCCATTCTTTCTGTCTCATATCTTTACCTTCCAGCATGTTTTGAACAAATTCATAAAAACTGAAGAGAAGGAGAGGTTTTTGTTTTGCTTTTTAATACTAATTTATTCTCATGCATGTTTCCAAATTCCACAACTGGCTTCATGGCTTTGATCTATGTCTGTTTAATAATATGCTTTAGAGTCACTTAATATAAATTTACCATATTTAGCATTCAGAAATACTCCTGATAAAAGCTGGCAAAGAATGTAACATTTATAGCTGACATGATAAACAAAGAAGCGAACAAGAAATGCTCTAGCAAGCCCCTGGGAAGTTCAGAGAGATTAGCATGGAATGCAGGTGGCATAAGACACAGGTCTGGAAGGAACTAGATACCCTATAGCTGCCTAGCAACCAGAATGTGTAGCTGACCTGGCTTTTAACAGGGAAGATCAGGCAGTGCCTGGATACCTAGTAACTGATAAAGCAGCTGTCTAGGTGAGGATTTGATAAACACATAAGCTTTTTTTTTTTTTTCTTTTTTTCTTTTTGGTATTCCGAGACAGGGTTTCTCTGTGTAACAGGGTCCTGGTACTTGCTTTGTAGACCAAGCTAGCCTCGAACTCACAGAGATTCTCCTACCTCTGCATCCCCAGTGCTGGGATTAAAGGTATGCACCACCGACTCTTTGATTTGCTTTATTTAGATAGAAATACTCTAAAATGCAGATACCATGACACTGGTTAATGAAACATAGCATTTTCAAATAAGACTCTAATTTTAGACCAATGTAGAAAATAAAATTTTAATGTCCCAAATAGTTACTAGGCCTTTATGGTGGTATTTTATTTGTACTGAAATGTGATTTTAATTGTATGTTAATAAATAAAGTTGCCTGGGGGTCAGAGCTATTAGAGCCATAGCAAAGGCTGGGCAGTGGTGGCATATGCCTTAATCCCAGCACTTGGTAGGCAGAGCTAGGTAGATCTCTGTGTGTTCAAGGATACAGCCAGCATTGGAGACACATGCCTTTAATCTCAATACCATAGAAGACCTGGAGGGCTGTACAACAGACAGTGATAAGGCAGTCATGTGATTGGTTTTACAACCAATGAGAAGGCAGAACAGAAAGTCTATATAAAGACAAACAGATAGGAAGTAGGTCTTTTTCGGAGAGGTCTCTTGGCTGAAGAGGCTAGCTGCAGGGTAAGGCTCTTAGCTCTGATCTCTTGGCTTTCTTCTTTGCATTTGCTCTGTGTTTCTTATTTAATAAGACAGTTGGTTACATCTACAGGCCTTTTCCACACTCTACCTTTCCCATCATGCTTTGGGTATGACAAAGATCAGATTTCTATATTTAACTCACTATTGTTTTTATGTAAAAAAAAAAAAAAGAAGAAGAAGAAGAAGTTTATAGGTCTTGTGGCCAGAGAAGTGGCTTAGTGGTTAAGAATAAATCCTGCTCTTTCATAGTACCCAAGTTCAGTTCCCAGTGCACATGTCAGGTGGTTTATGAGCCACCTGTAACTCGAGCTTCCACCGAGGATCAGACACCCTCTTCTGCCCCTGTGGGCACTTGCATACCTGTCGCATCCAACCATCCATATGTACACACAGAGAGATACATATAATAAAAATGATAAGAATGGATCTTTAAAAAAACAAAAATAGTAAATAAAAATTACAGATCTTGAAATTTCAGATGAGTGGAAATAATTTTGTGAGGAATACAATATCAGATACTAGATACATATCTATAAATATAGGATGCATATATATATATATATATGCAGAAGACTATAAGATTTCATGAATTGCTTACTCTACCATTCTTCCTCTTTTACCTTTTGAAATGGACAAGATTAAATTCTTTTTTTTTTTTTTTAATCCTGGTGTGATCAGACACCTGATGGCCTGGGAATTGAATCTGGTTCCTCTGGAACATCAGTCAGTGCTCTTAACAGTTGAATCACCTCTCTTCTCCAGGATTAATTTTTTTTTTGTTTTTTTTCTGAGACAGAGTTTCTCTGTGTAGCTTTGCACCTTTCCTGGAACTTACTCTTGTAGCCCAGGCTGGCCTCAAACTCACTAAGATCCACCTGCCTCTGCCTCCCAAGTGCTGGGGTTAAAGGCACTCACCACTGCTACCCAGCTCAGGATTAAATTCTTAACGCACAGGAAGGTGTGGTGATATTTTATTTGTGCTGAAATTTGGTGATATTTTATTTGTATGTTAATAAATAAAGTTTGCCTGGAGATCAGAGGAAAAGCCACTAAGTAAACACAAAATTCAGGCAGTGATAGTACACACCCTTAATCTGATCACATGGCAGGCAGGGTCTCTGTGTGTTCAAGGACACACTGGGGAAAAGTCTAGCATGGTGGTGATATACACCTTTAATCCCAGTACCAATCATAGAGACCTGGAGGTCTGTACGGATAGGCAGTGACAAGGAAGTGAGGTAGCTGGGCTAAGAGCCAATGAGAGGGCAGAACAGCAAGGCAATAAAGGCGTGGGTAGATAGGAAGTAACTCACTTTGGTTAGCTGCAGAGCTGGAGAGGTAAGGCTGGTGGCTATCACTTTTTCCCTGATCTCTAAGGCTTTCACCCCTATATCTGGCTCTGTGTTTTTTATTTAATGAGACCTATTAGAAGTTCGTCTACAGGGAGGAAAGGCATTGCAGTAGGAAAAAAAAAATCACTAAAATTTGTAAGTGAGAATTGATGTGCATGTTCTGTATGTATTCTTGTGGAATAGACAAATGCAGGAAGGTGGCTCACCATGGATGCTTTAAGCACAAGGAACTCCCGTGTACATGTATGTGTACACAGCTGCTAACATATTCCAATCAAAATTATTGTATCTTACTATTTTTGTTCAAAATGATAAATTTCTTTAATCTAGTAGGTTCAAACTACCAGAATCAAAACATAAGTAATTAAGCATATTTACCATTTACTCTGGAGACCTGGGCAAGAACTGAAAGACTAATTACTGTGAGACACAGCTTCCTCATATGATGCCTTCTCAGAGCCATGGATGATGGTCCTTCCTTACAGGGGTTTATGGAGCTGCTAAAATGTGTCCTTTCTTCGCTGACATTTGCACTAGCATTCATTATTTGCATAATCTCCTTTTGCAGAAAGTTTATGACCCCATCTCTTTTTTCTCTAATCTTTCTTTCTAGATCTTCAATTTTCTGACTTGGGCCCACAATAATTTTGTTATATCAGAACCTACTTTTAATTTCCATGCTGTCAGCTGATCAAAAGTCCCAATACTGCATAGAAAGATCAATGGAGTAAGATCAATAAAAGCTGCTGTGAAACTTGGATCTAGATCACAAGAAACATCCAGGGAAGTGTCACACTCAAATGTCTGAATATGAAAACTGAGTATTCATTGACTTAACACACAAATCGGATTTTTAAGAACTGATGGGTTAAACATGAAAGATATAAGATAGATGAATTTATAATTTTGTAATTATCAATATTACAAGTTTGAATTAATGGGGAATATACATTATGTTAGAATACTTGCAGGAATTTTGGAAAACTTAGTCACATAAAATGAATGAAGTAAAGCTAGTAAAATTTGAAAATTCTGACTGCTATCATGCTGAATACATTCTTTAATGACACTGCAATTTAAATCAACCATTAAAATAGTTACAACATGTCATCCTCCTTTTTATAAATACAAACACTTCAAAGGAGAAACAATGGAAACCAGGCTACATTTTTAAGTCAATTAGAGAGCACACACTTTAAGCTTTTAAAATGAAGATAAACTAAGGCTTGAGAAAAAGTGGCCTTAAATATTTATATTAGTGAGCAAGGCAGGTTTAGTTAGGTAGTCCTGGCACATAATTTCAAATAAATCACTCAATCCAAAGCAATAAATAATAAATAAGTAATAAAGTAAATAAAAATGAAAACCAATGAAAGACCCAGTAACACCAAAGGCAGGTACTTGATGAGATAACTCAAAGAAGTAAAAACCTGTAAGAATAAGTCCAAAGGCACTTAATCTCATTAGGAGTTAGATCATGGACATTTTAACGTGCTTAGATAAGAGTTTACATTCACTTGGTTGAAATGCTGGGTATAATTAGTTGTTAGTCAGGGTTTAACTAACAATTTTCATGCACTTTGAGTGGAATTGTAAGCTACTAGCATTTCCTGGGAAAAGAGTTTCACAGCTAGGCTGGAAATAGGGCCCCAGCAGGGAATGCAGAAATTCCATTTGTGATCAATTAGCTTGATTGTCAACTTGATTGCATTAAGAAGCACCTCGGAGATTAGTGAAGCAATATTAAGAGTGCCTATGAGAGAGTTCCAAGAGATGGTTAGATTAAGAGGGATTGACCTAAAGTGGATTAATCCTCTGATGTATTCACAATAAGATTATTGAGAGATAGTTAAAGACAGGAGGCAGAGCACAGCTGGAGGAGGTAGGTCACTAAGGAATGGTCTTCGTGGTTACACCTTATCCTGGATTCTTCCTCTATGACGTTTTCTTTGCTTTCTGCCCTCCCTAAGTGACAATTTTCTCTACCATACAATCCCACTACCATGATGTTTTGTCTCACAATGAACCCAGAAACATTGAACCGGTGTCCATGGACTGGACCCATAGAAACCATGAGCCAAAATAAATCTTCTCTCTCTTACATTATATCTATCAGGTATTTGTTCACTAAAGTCAGTAAAGCACTACTCTATACATAATTCAAGATCACAAAGATCTCAATACAAAGAGCACCAGGGCATATTGACAGGAATGTTCATCAAAAACATTGAGGTGTCAAAAAGTAATTGGCCCCCAAATGTGTATAACTAGAATGGATTACAACAAATTGTAGTGTATTTTTGTGATCCACATTATACAAGTAAACAGGAACAAAAATAAACCCTACCGTTCTGGGTCTAATAGACAAATTAAAGAAGAATTTATATATATATATATATATATATTTATAAAACTACTATGCCATTTAAGAATATGTATAAAATAATTTAGAGGTATGTTTATATTTGGGGGAATCATGAACAAGGGAGATATTACAAATAAAAATTAGTTTTAGTACTTATGTCTTTCAGAGATATGTAAGAGTGCTCCAGGGAATATTTAGAGAGGTGTACAGTAAGTATCAAGAGTTCTGGTAATATTCTTTGTTAACATAGAATTGCTCTAAAGAAATCTGACAGTGTGAAGAAAGATTTCCAAAATATGTATTTGTAAAATTCTCAAACCATATATCCTTATAAAAATAAATAATGTAAATACAGTCCAAAACATGTTTAGTAGTATGAATATAGAGTTATTGCATGTAGCCCTATTTGTAATGGGTAAATACTGAGATCATTCTAAATAGCAGCATGAGTGGATAAATACAGCTGAAAGCACTATGACCAAAAATATGCCATAATTTGTATAAAATATGATAGGAGATGTACACTCAAATGTGTAGGTAAGTTCAAGATAATACTTTTTGAATTGAAAAACAAGGAGCATTGCTAGAAGGGAAATAAACAGACTTGATGAGGGATGGGTAAGGGGGAATTCCCCTTCATCCAGAATCTTAAACACTACTTCTTACCAGGACCCTTGACACTTACAAAGAAACACTCAAAAACTATATGAAAATATTGCTACAGGGAATATTTTGGAGGTTATGAGGGAAGTGTTTCTGTTCAAACCTTTCTTTAGAAAGAATAGTAAAATACATACATACAAATATAAAAATACAAAAATAACAGGAGAAAATTAAAATAGTTATGACCCTGCACCAAACTCAGCTCCAAATGGATCAAAGACCTCAAAACTAATCTAGATACACTGAACCTGACAAAAGGGAAAGTTGGGAACAACCAGGAATTGATTAGCATATGAGAAGGCATTCTGAACAGAACACCATTAGTGGAAGCAC